TCCTAATGACTGGTTTTTGTGGAATAGCTTTACCTAAACATCAGTTTCGTAAAAAGGGAAGTCTGACAATCGGTTTTTGTGGAACACTTTACCTAAGCAACAGTTTAATAAATAAAGAAGCCTAATGATTGATTTTTGTGGAACAGCTTTATCTAAACATCAGTTTCATAAAAAGGGGAGTCTCAGGAGCACACTTCCTCATCCTTTCCGTTTTTCACCGCTCCCCTCTCCCTCCAAACGTACGTTACTTAGTCAATCGGCAAAGGATCTACGCCAATTAGCCCTTATATCCACCTATCCTAGCTCCTCTCCCCTGCCACGGACGAAACCTGCCATATACCACTCCCACTTCCACCTCCCACATTCAAACTGCCGCCATCCGCCGTGGGGCAGCCCTACCTGTCGTCGGCAGAAAATTTTTGCGGCTTGTATATGAGACGAGACGAGACGAGCCGAGTTATTGTAATTGCCCAGGACTGGGAGTAACAGTTTAGATCTCAAATGGTTGTAACCGAGAAGAGAGAAGGCGAGTATTAACTGCAAAGAAGTTGAGACCTTAATTGTAAGTAGGAAGTGGAAAAATGAGCAGGCACTGTGGGGTGTAGGATTACTTGGGGTTATAAGGTCGGCAAGAAACTCGATGCTGAGTGAAAGCCGGCACACTTCTGTGCGAGAAAAGTCTTACTTAGACAAAAAAACCCGGCACCTGTGCACGATTATGAGCTTTGCAGTTTGCACCCTAACCCCGAAACGAGTGCATATTGAGTTGCCGAGCCGAAATTTTGTGGCTGTCTAAAATTAGCACTGCATGCCATTACCGAACGTATAAACATGAAATCAAAATACAAAAAGTCGTAAGCCATAAAAATCAAAGCGAAATGTAGCATGAAACAAAATATTTGTAAGAACAATGAGATATTCAAAAAATGCAAACATTGAAAAGACATATGGCTCACAGTATGTGTTATGTCGATGGTACAACAGCATGCAGATGGCAAGAAATAGTATCGACAATTTATAACATATCTTCTTCACCCTGCAACACAGCTTTATCAATTTTCACGAATGCTCCTTCTACTTTGCTGTTGCATTCTTTTAGCGTTGATCTATTGTCAAGCAAAAGGGGAAGAAGAATGTAAAGATTGGGTCTGGAAGCCAAAACTTGGCAGAGCGGTAGCAATATTTCATGAGATTTATGGATCGGATCAGGCATATCTGGCTTATTTCTGGAGCAGCTAGAAAAAGGGAAAACAGCATTGACTCGACTCTACAATTTGGGGGAGTGCCGGGCCCGGTAAACCAACAATTCTTCATTTAAACCAAAAAAAACGGGACCTCCAACAGTCCTCAGTACTCTCCTACGCAAATCACCAAAACACCAAACAGTACGACTAATTTTGGCTGTACCATTGCTGCTGCGGCACTTTTTTCCTGACGATAACTGTACGGGGCTGCCGCACCACTGAAGATGCAACATTACTGTCTCACTGGTCCGTTCTACCTTACAGGATCAGATCATGTGGCAGGTACTTGCCCGCTCAATAATTCGCGTTACTCCAATCACGACAGTTAGTTCTCAGCAGAATATTTTTTCTTCGAATTCCCAATCCAGTCTAGTAGCACCGTGCAGTTGGAAGCAAAAAACTGCTCCCCATTTTGTCAATATCGTAACGAGTTATCAGCAAAGCTGTTTTCATGAAATTATAAATGAGGTAACGCTGTTTTTTGCCTGGTTTCTTCGTGATCAGATAAGCAATCAGGTTCTCCGCCAGACGATCGGTGTGCAGGGCATCAGTGGAAACACAAGAAAAAAAAACCCATTGATGAGGGCATGGTGTTCCAATATATTAGAGAGTGACACCCTTGAAATAGTAATCGAACATTCTGAAGAGGTGGCGCAGATGCACTAAATCGCCTTTGGGTACTAATTGAGATATTTTACCTTACAGTGGAACAACCCAACATTGCTGGAACCAAGTAATATCTCCTAGTACAGGATAAAAGGAAAGACCAAAAAAACAAGTGAAAAGAGATAGTGGAGAGCATATGGTGTGAAAACATTTTCAGGAGATGTAATAAGCACCTAC